GTTAAATCCTGCAACTCTTAAAAAAATTGTATGTGGCCACCAGAAGCTTATGATTACTTTGCTGCTCTTTCATAAAAGGTTGATTATCACCGATTTGCAGTTTATCAATTTGGATTCTTTGAAACAATTACTTACTTGATATATAATTGTTAAATTTTAATCTAGTGATAAATATATATGGACTCAGCAGTAGTTAAAGTGTAGATGGCCTTTGCTTTTTGTAAGTCACAATATTTTTTTACATTTTCTGCTATTAGGCATTTTGCTAATGCTTCAAAATAATTTTTAAACAGAATACCTCAATTTGTTAAGTCTGCAAGGCTTTCAAAAATAAAGTTCATTACAAAGTTTTGTTTTCATGTTCAACTTTGTGCAATGTTTGGTTGGAGTGTCCTCATTTATTAGTCTAACCAAGTGTGATGGTATGAGATTCATAGTACTAGTATAAATGTTAAGATCTCTTTCTTGTTCTTCAGCTTTCTCATGATTTTTCTTTTATTGCTGAAAAACAAGTGGTGCATTATTTTAATTTGTTGTTTTTATTTTATCCTAATTTAATCTTATTATGTCTTATAAAACTTAGATACAAATAAATATATGAATATTCTTCTTCTTCATATTAATAATGTGAAATGATTAAAGATTTGGTTTATTCAATTTTTGTTAAAATTTTGTGAAAAGATAACCAAACTAATTAATATTTACAAACTATTGGAATAGTTCATTTTTCTGAACTTGCAGCACTGGTCATATCTGAACCACACCATTTGTTCTTTCCTACCACACCTACATTATTTCAATTTGCTATTTCAATTGTGTCAGCTTCTGGTGTGAGGCTCTGGACAGGTCCGAACCCTCGCTAAAATTCGCGTTAAAATAATTGTTTTAGAGAAAAATTATATAGTAGTTAGAGAGAGATTTTTATTATATGAAAACGCGATGCTAGACAATAGAAGACTTTTAAACAATAAAAGAATGTAAGTTTATCGATCATTTCCGGTTGGAGATCGAATTAAACTTCGATTTTGACCTCTCCCGCGCCCTTGAAAGGTTTCGAATTGTCATCAGGTGACGACAGGAGACCAATCGGAAAGGGGAATCTGAGAGAAAACAGATAAAACCCCGGAAATTCGAGGACGCGACGGCTTCTTCTCCCGAAAGTTCCAAGTGACGGACCTGTTGTTGTGTGTCTCGCACCCATCTTCGTCTTCATCTCCCGACTTCTGATCGACATTTTTCCATCAACGGAAGTCGACCGCATCGTCCCGGAGTCCTCGAGACGTGATGGAATGGTTCATTCGCGAACAAGGGACACTCCTTCAAAATGGGACTATCTTGGAAAGGAGAGGAAGACCCAGATGCTGCAGCTGCTGCAGAACTTCCAAGATTGCGGGAAATCTTGTAAGCTTCTTTCGTGTTTAATAAACGGTTGTGTTGTTTGTAAACGAAGCATCTATCTTTTACTCAACTGCTTCCACATGTCGTTGATTGTTACCGCTCGGCAATCCAAATGGCAAGGGAGACGACGACGATATATATCACATATTATCGTTCGTCGAGAGTTTTTTTTTTTAAATTTCTCTCCTCCCTCGGCCCCCACACTGGCAGACACAATTGAATACAAATAGCAAAGAATTGCAATGTGGTAGTTTAATAAGGAACATCCTGACTTACTGTATTTACTCATGTATAAGATGAGGTTTTTATTAATTTTTCACTGCTTCGTAAACCTAGGTCATTCTATATGTGCGAGCGACAGATTCTTTGCATTTTTGCAATAATTTTTGTGAGTCGTATATTCAAATTTTTTAACTGATGCTCATCCTTTGGTGTTTAAAAACAAAACTATTTTATCTGGGTCATTTGAATTATTCTTGTGTATTGTCAGGAGTAAAAATGTATAGCAATAGGAAAAGCAAAGCTTTTGAATTGAATTCTGAATTGAAATTCCAAAATTACACAGGATCCCAATATAAGTTTTAATCCATTCCCACATAAAAACAGATTATTATTCAGAAACCAGAATTCGGAAAAACTCATACGTATGGATGTGACTGTTAAAATTTAGCAAAAAAGGTTCCCAATTGTCCAGCTTTACGTGAACAAATTATGTTGTTGATTTTACAAGATTTTTTCTTAAAGTTTAAAATGACAGTAATTTTTGTGGGACAATGTGTGCAATTACATGCATTTGATATTTTATTTGTGATTAAATGAAATAAAATTAGAATTGTATTAATCTTATTTTTATTTTGGTCTTTAAAGTCACATCTTGTCCTATATGCGAGATTATCTTATATGCAAGTAAATACGGTATATAGTTAATTGTAAGATAATAAAGTGTGTAATAAAAACCTGTTCTTAACTGAATTCAATTAAAAAATCCAAAAGTTGTATTTTGAACAATTATGGTCTATTGATATTGTGATATTCTATTGATATTATGTGATAACTTAGGCCATATTTACATACTTATTGTTCTAGAATTCTGATGGTCATTCAAAAGTGTGACTGGATGGGTCTTCGATGCTTTGTCAAGATAGACACTACTGGATCTTGATTGACCTGGAAGATGATGATTAGTTCAGTCACTCGAGTGGCTGCGTGCGCGAGCGATCGGGTGGATGGAGTGAGAGACAGCGTGCCGGAAGTGACTCAAGTGGAGATTGGAGTAACAAAACAATGTTTATTTAAAACAGAAATGTTTGAATACATGCGATATCAAGTTCTCAATAGAGAGAGATATATATCTAAGATACTTTTGCGATCGGAGAGAGAGAGTTTACAACAAATTCGAGTGGCGATAAATACCTTGCGAAGTTGGAACTGATAGTGGTGTGGATATTGTCTGTGGGATGTTCGGAAAGTCCTGGATCGGAGTTGGATCACGATTCTCAGAGAGGTTCGTCCTTACTGTGCTATAGGTCGAAAGTGTGAGAACCGAGGGGGTATGTCTACGTCGTACCTCTGTGGATCGGCTTTCAAGTCTGTGGGACTTGAAAGATGACTTAAGATGACAAATTTTTAGTTTATACCAAGGGAACGGGACTAATTTTGTTTCTGGTCTGGTCGAGTGTAGGAGGGAGGAGTGTTGTCGGTAAGGTGACAGGCGATATACGAGTAAAAGAGGACACCAATTTAACAAGGAAACAACGATTTATTGGCTATCTACATAGACGGTACAATAACTATTATTGAGGGGAAATTCCGAGTCCCTAAAACGCAAAGGGCCGAGAGAGAGTTCACAAAAATTTGTTTCATACCTTTTTGTTGATAGTTCTCTTGAGGAAATTAATATTATACGTAGGACACAATATATAAAAATAGGACACAGTATTTAAGTGACGGTGGATGAACGACTCCCCCGAGAGGGGAAGCAAGTGGCTTTTATAGTTTCGTTGTGGGAGAATGGTCATGTGACCAATTGTTGTGAGGTAAAAGGTACACGGACGGGTCAAAGTTGTTTCCAGGACCATGCTAACTGTCAACTTTGGAGTTGGAATGTGGGATTATTTTCGAAGTGGACTGATGTTTATTTTGAATGAAAGGGGAGATTGGAATTTTTCCTTTTTTTCATGTTAGGTTTTAGTTTAGAATTTAAAGGAAAATTTAATTGAGGGTTTAGGAAAATCCGGGATATTAATCAGAAAAATTGGTAAAATTCCAGATTTCACAAAAGTAATATCAGGAAATATTTCAAGGCACAATATGGCAAATTCTAATTGAAGTTAGTTGCAGTTCACACAACATCACTTTAATCCAAGGTGAACAGGTACGGTTTCACTGGAGAAAGAACGAATGATGACTGCTCTTTTTGGCAAATAGCCGGCGACTGTACGGTCAGTAGGATGGATGATGACTGCCCTGAAAATCGGTCTGTTACTATATTCACTTGACAAACTTGCAACAATAGGTCGGAAGGTTATGAGAAAGCGTCCTTTAGCAACTGAGAACTTGCTTAGTGATTAACTCCCAGGTGTGAAATTTAATATTTAAATGATAAAATGATGATGTTAAAGATTTAAGTCAGGCCATTAAGAAAGTAAACAAGGCTGAGTCTCACAAAAGTGAAAACTTTTGAATGACCATGAGCATTGTTGATCTCATGCATAACTTTATGGACATACAATCTCCTTTTTCAGCATAATTATGAAATTGTATGCTTGTATTGTACAGTGCAATTATGAACAATATTCTATTAAATATGAACACATACAAATGATTATCATTATATTTTTGTTTAAATATTCTTTTACAAAATAAATACATAATTCTGTTATTGGGCTGCAATTTGAAAAAATTGTAAACCTATATATTTCCACTGTTGTCCATCTTCTGTCTTTCCTTAATCTCAAGAATGGAGTTAGATAGACGAAAGTCAAGATCAGATATGGAAAGATTAGGGGCAGGAGACTCCAATTAACTATATGCAAACTTCCACAAATTGGAAGTCATGTTATTTCAATTAAAAAATTTCCCCTGAAAGGAGTTAGATGACTGGTATGACTCTATTGCAAAAGGAAAAGTATGATGTACAGGAGCAAGACAATACTTGGAGACAAGAAAATGGAGAGCATATATTTTAAATTAAAATAAATTAAAAACATGATTGTCACAATGCTGGGCTGCAATTTTTAATGTCACAATAAATATTTGCTCATAAACATTTTAAATCTACAGTATATTGTAAAACAAAGTTTGCAATTAGATTTTTCAGTTGTTTTCATGCAATATGATATAAAACTGTAATTTTAATTAACTATTAAGCTAATATTTTAAAATGATTTTTAAAACTTAGTTTTTTTTAACTTTTGTAGAAAATTATTAAATATTCAGTTATAAATTTACATTTATTATTTGATTATTTCAATGTGAAGTATGTTTTAAATTTTTATATCATCATAAAATGTATAATAATGTCAAAATATATGTATGTACAGTATATCATCATTAATTTGAAACTTAATAATGTGTGTTAAATCTTTTTCTTAAATTCTTAGAAGGTCAGTTCCAGAGTGATGCTTTATTAGTTCCGGAACATTGCTTATTTGATCACATTCACAATCAAAGCATCTGCCAGACATTTGACGAATGGAATCAGACCGCCTCTTCAAGCTGTCAAGATCGCAATATGCAGTTGAGAAGTTTTGCAATGCTTCTGCCCTGTGGTGTAGATATTTTCTCTGGAGTTGAATTTGTTTGTTGTCCAAGAGAAGGTTGGTAGTTTGATAATTTTATTATTATTATTTTAAATTTGTTGCTGTCATTCAATATTTCAGGCAAATTGTATTGAATTATTTCTATACTGAAATTTTAATTTATTGTTTCAGTAATTTAAATAATAAATAGCTATGTAAAGAAGTCACAAATTCTTTAATGTTGTTCAGAATACTTTATCCTTTCATCAGACACTAAACATTAAAATCATGAGAAGTTTAAGACATTTAAAACATTAGTAGAATGAGAATGTAATATTTTTATCAGAATAAATTTGTTCTTAATGAATAGATGTGTTCCTTTCTTTAGAATTAAATTTTTCTATATGTAGATTTGTAAATCTTGCAAACGATTCATGGAAGTATCACAATTACATCTGAATTTTGGTACTTAAATGGCATACTTTTTAGAACATATATAAGTAAGGGATATCCAAAAATTACTGTGTAGTGAGAAATTTGTAATGATGTTAAAGTTTTACATCCTGCATTTCCACTTTGTGGTAGATGGCATCACTGCTTGTGAAGTTTTTGGAAGACTTCTTTGCTGACACTGTATCACCTGCAGAATTTGGCCTCCTAGGTCTGTAGACTTCACAGATTTTAGGGCTTCTGGGGACATTTCCAGTATTTGCCTTAGGAGAAACTGCAGTATTGTACATCAAATTTCACTTTTATTAAAACTTAAACCTTAAAATTTTCCATGTTTTTATAGCGTGCTAAAAGTAAAAAAAAAAATTTAGAAAAACTTCTGGTATAGACTAAAATTAATTGGAATTAAATATTTAAGCAGTTAATATTTAAAGTTTTGTTCAAAACTTCTAAATGCTGAAAGGTTTCCAAACACCCCATAGTTAGAACAAAAACATTAATGAGATGTTTGGTCTTCAAGAATGTTTAATCTGAAATCTTGGACTCCTTCAACCATTTTTAGTATTGTGCTATACTACTTACAGCAATTAAATTTTTATGGTTTCTTACTATTGACTGTTGTAAATAATTTAGCTTTTGAGCTTTAAACAGATTAATAGTTTTAATATTTTATATATCAAAACAGAAAAATGAAACTATTTATGATTGGTTGATATTTTAAAATAAATGGCATGTGGTATTCATTAATAAATTTTTCAGTATCATATGCTATTTCTGATTAAGTTTAAAATGTAGTTGCTTTTTAGAATAAGTGAACCTTTAAACATCTAAAGCTAAATATTTCCAACATTATCATTAGAAATTGAAATTAGTCTATACAATTTCTACTTTAAAATAATTAACATAGCTAATATGCTAAAAAAACAATAATAATAACTTTCAGGAAGTACTGTACATGTATACAAAAATTAAAGTTTAATTCAGATGACGTTCAAAACAAAAATAAATATTTTCTATTTGGCAATGATTAATGTTGGATACCTCTGCACTGTTTTTATCATAAAAGCTAATAAATTTCTCAATTAAAAAAACACCTAAATATTTAAGAAAGTTTAATTTAAATGAGCTTCCTGAAATTAAAATTACTTTAACTTACTTTTATATTTCATACAAAATGGAATTAAATTAAGTAGTTAAGATTGTTGCTTAAAATAGCTGTATATGACATTTTAATGTCAAAGTAACACACAAATAAAAACAAGATATCTATTGTTATTTCTAAATATTTTATGTATTATAAAAACTGATTTATTTTGTTTTTATTCATAATTTAAGTAAGTTTGTTTCCAACAATTTTAAATTTGTAACATTTGTTTTTTGTTTGAATTTTGTCTGAAGGACACAGTTGTAATCAGGGAAAAGTACTTGTAAAATGTACAAAACTTTAAATTTAATTGTAGTAAAATATATATGTTAATAGACATTTTACATTATGTAAATAGATTAAACATAAAACAAACATATTATATAATTTTTAATAGTTTTGTTTTTGAAATTTTTTTTACTGTTAATGATTTTCTATTTAAAACTGAATTATTTAAACTTTGCACTGTAAACTATATACTAAATCATAAAATGCAATTATTGAGTTTTTCAATTCACTGAAAATAAGTACTATACACTAAAGTTTACATCAAAACAAAAAGTTTCATCAAATATTTTAAAAAAATGATTCATAATGTAATAATGTCTGATTTGTTCTCACATTTTCAGTACTCAGCATCTTGTAGCATCTTGCAATACTGTTTCTTTTTTCCTTACTAATTGTCATTGCAATTTCTTAATATAAATTATAAATTTTTCAAATTAATTATTCATACTTAAGTGTTTTGATATGTTACAAATTGTTTCATTATTGTTAGAACAAATATTTAATAACTTAACAGGATGCAATTTCTGTTTTGATGAGATTATTACTTGCCATGGTAACATCATTAGTAACTATATTCTAGGATGTAATTTTTAAAAAATGATGTGACTTATAATCTGTAGATATTTCATTGAATAGTTCTGTTGACTTAAAAAGGGAAGAAAAGCAATGTCCTTTTAGACAGGAAATGATTATACAGTATATATATTTTATTAATGGAAATACAATTTTCTTGTGCACCAGTGCAGATAGTCTATTGAATATTAAGATTTGTTTAAATCTGCTGACTCTTGTGATTGATATGCAATGCTGTTGTAGACTCTGAATCAAAGTGTATATGCACTAGAATTATTATAAATAGTAGCTATTAAACATGTTTTGTGAGCTTTTGAGCTAAAAAAAAAAAAAAGTGTTTGTAGTTGACCTCATCCCTCAATGTTATATCTGACATTATTCAAATGTTTAAGTTAATTGATAATCTTTTTGGACTTCTATAATATAGAAGACAATTTGTTAGATGAAAGAGGAGGGAGGAAGTCAGATTGAAAAGTGTTGTGTTCTGGAAATAACACCTGTCTTGTCTATCTTGACAAAAAAACATCTTAGAACTTTAAATTGCTGGAAATGAAAATGTGATTTCAAATTATTACTGTTAATAAAATATTCTGGTTATTTCTTTATTTAGATATAAATACAGTAGTAAACTTTTAAAATTTGAGTCTGAAACAAATAATTATAATTTTTGACTTTATACAAATAAATTGATAATGCTCTAAGTTAAATTATTTTAAAACGTAATATTATAATATCATTTTACAGTAGATTAGTATTTGATAGTGTTCATCAAAACTAGATCTATCATGAATCAAATGAAATGAGTGTGTGTTTTCTTTTAAATGGGTCAAATTTTTTAGTGACTTTTTAACTTTAATCCACTATATATTTGTGATTACATAGTATTTTATTGCTTATAATAATAAAAATGATTGTAATATATATCTCTTAATATAGAATTACTAAAGTGGACTTCTCCCTTCTATGAGGAAGCGATCCATTTTAAACTAACGTCAGGCACTACACAAAATAGATAAGGCTCTGATGTTTAGCCTAAAGAAACTTGTTTGTTAAATTAAATGAATAAATTGGAAATATTGAAATTTTGAAAGTTTATCATCTAGATACTTTGTTGTTTTCCATATACTACTTCTGCTAATCTTGATTGTGTTAGATTGGGTCTACTTGACCATAGAATCTCTTCATAGAATCATAGAATTTTTAATGGTCTTAATATATTAGATTAACTCTCACAATACATTTTTAACAGAGGACTTTATTGATCCTCTACATCTACTGTTTTTTTACATATGAGCATGTTTTACAAAGCTATTTGTCACAATTTAGAATATTATTATTTTTTTAATCTTTACCACCTTTCGTATAGCAAAACTGAAATCAAATGTTACCAAAGCAATACCTGTAAAAATTATCTGTAAAAATACTAGCAATCCTACCATAACATCACTATAGTATTATCTAACATTGCTGATATGATTAGCTTATTTGATAATTTCAAAATTTAATATTTTGACAGAAAAATCTAAAGGAAATAAGGGTGATAGTAGAGAAGATATGTTGAATAATGTAGATAATTCAATCAGTGATGAAACTGATAATGATGACGACGATGATTATGATGATGACGACGACTATTATGATGATGACGACTACAGTGAAGAAGACAGGTCTAGTGCTGCAAGCACAACAACTAGTACCACAACTACTACCACAACCACTACAACCACCACCACCACAGAGAGACCAGTTGACTTTTATTTTAGTCACTTTGATAGTCGACATGAGCACGATGCCTTCAAAGAAGCTCAAAAGTCACTGGAAGATAAACATAGGGAAAAAGTTACCAAAGTAAGTAATATTGCAATTATTAGTAGGACTTAAATATAATTATGAACATACAAATTCAATAGAAATTGTATATATATATATTGTGTGTAAAAATTCTTTTATTCAGAAACCTATACTTAATCAGTAAATATTGTTTAATTAATTAGGGATATACAGTCAGACACAGTAAGTGTTATTTTATTGATTTCAACTATACTCTTATGAAATCAATAAAATCAGGCTTACTATCCTCAGTTTTTTAAATTCATCTCTCTAAACAAATGTCTTTTAAGTGTGATATTAAATTAACTTATCTCCATTTTTTTAAATCTATTTGTAACTTTTCACTCAGTTTCCTTTTTTAACTGACATTAATTGCTTTTAATAATTTAGTGTAAAATGGATCAGCAATGTGGAGCCCATGGCACATTTCAGATGCACCCTTTAGAACCATAGTTACACAAGCATAAATATATATAATTGTAATTTTATTTAATTTGATTTTGTGTTATTTTATGTATGTACTGTACTGTACTTTTCATTTTCATTGTTTAGTTATTACATTGTGTATAATCTTCAGTTTGGATAATTATATATATTTCAAACATAATTATTTTATTTATTACAACTTTGTGTGTGTGTGTTTTTTTTTTTTTTCAAAATTAAACTATGCACTTTTGATGGTTTTTACAAATTTTATTGTGCCCTTAATAACAAAAAGGTTGCCGATCCCTGATGTAAAATGCAAATTAGTTTAACTTCAAATTTTAAAGAATTGAACATGACAAACTAAGCTTGTTACATCTAAAGAAGTCTATTTAAACTGAATACTTTCCTGATTGAAAAAGAAAATACAATAGAGCCTCAAACTCGGCCTAATGTGGATCAAAGGGTGGCCGAGTTTGTGAAAATGCCGGGTTATCGGGAATGGGGTTAAAAAAGGATAAGTATGCGTGTTTCCTCAGAAAATATTGTACTGTACTTGTATGTATTGTTTGCTTGAGAATACAACAGAGAATAAACTGCCCAAATACCCTTAAACAAAGGAAAAGTACATCCTTTATGAAGGCATAGAGCCTTTACTACATGAAAATGAAAATTAATGAATACATAGTGTACAGTAATTTACCTGATAAGACAGACCTCAGAGAAATACTTTGAGGCATAAAGCTGTCTATGATGAAAATTAATTATCTAAGGATATTTTTGCCCTGCCAGGGTGTGGCCGAGTTATCTGGAGTGCCGGGTTATCGAGTGCTGAATTTTCGAAGCTCTACTGTAGTACAATAATAATATTATGAAAGTTGTTATTGTGCTAACTTTCTATAAAAAAACAAAAAAAAATTGAATGCTTATGAGAATATAAATTGCCTGTAATTGCAAGTATTTTGAACTGTCTCAGAGGAAATGTGTTAAATTTTTCAAATTTATTCAAATAAGAATATTTAAATTTTTCCATAGTTTATCTTTGAATGTTTACATCTTCTAATTAAGATTAAAAGTTCATATAAATTATATAAATATTTAATCTTCTAAGTCTGTCAACAAATTCAGAATTTACCAACTTTTTTTTAAACCCAAAATTATTAAATAAGCATATTATTATTAGGTGATCAATGCCTAGTAATAATAATAATAAATTTAAGATTTTGTAGAAAGTTTAGTATTTGATTATTTTAAGTTTATAAGTAATCTTATGACATATATTCAATATGTTCTAACATTACTTTAAAATGAAATATTTTATAAATCATTATTTTCAGGTTATGAAAGAATGGGGCGAATTAGAAGAACGCTACCAAGATATGAAACAAGAAGATCCCAAAGGTGCTGACGAATTCAGGAAAAAAATGAGTGCAGTAAGTAAATTAATTAAAATGTTTGCTGTTAAGTATTTTTTTTACATATAAGATATTTTTTGGTTTTTGTTCTTCATACATCATGTAAAACCAAGCTATAATTAATTATTGATCATTCAGCAATCAGTAATCCTTAAAAATTTTTCTTTAAAACAGTAAAAAATTTAGACTTTCTTTTTGTGCTGCTTATTGTTATTTATACAAACTAAATGGAATCAGAAATTTTAGATAATGTATTGTTTAAAATAATAACTTATAAGTTACATAGAATCACAAATATGATCTAGATTTAAATTTTTGGGTTAGATTCAGATTTATATCTAAAGAGCCTTGATCAGCCTTGTCATGATTATTAGCCTTTCTTAATGGTAATGAGTTCAAAGATTATTTGAACAATTCTTTTGTTAATTTCTTTAATTTTGAAAAAAATGCTTAATGATTCTGGGCAATTCTAATTTGTTTCATAGTATAGTAAAAAAAAAAAACTGTTGTTTTGCTGAAGCATCTGAACTTTTAAGTTTTATTGTGTAAATTATATTTTAATATACATAGTTATCAATGAAGAATAGTTTACTTCTAAATTGAGACTCTGCAGCTATTGTTTATCAATAGATTAATAATAATTACAATGATTAAATCATATAGAGAAGAAAAATTTTTCTTTGCTTCAAAGTTAAAGAACTTTGATATTTCTATAAATGTGTTCCAGATGTTTTTCTTTGTTAAGAAATGTGTGTTTAACATGACTTTTTTAAAAATATATGAAGTTAATGTTTTTTGATAGAATTTTTTAATTTTTCTGAAATTATTTCTATAGCATTTCCAAAAAACTGTAGAAGCATTGGAGGAAGAAGGAGCGGCTGAAAAGCGCAGACTTGCAGCTATGCATCAGCAAAGAGTTATGACAATTATTAACATGCGTAAAAAGGCTGCAATGAATTGTTATACTGCTGCATTAGATAAAGTACCACCTAATGTAAGTATTTAGAATTATGGAGTTGATTTAAAGTAANAGGAGCGGCTGAAAAGCGCAGACTTGCAGCTATGCATCAGCAAAGAGTTATGACAATTATTAACATGCGTAAAAAGGCTGCAATGAATTGTTATACTGCTGCATTAGATAAAGTACCACCTAATGTAAGTATTTAGAATTATGGAGTTGATTTAAAGTAATAAATCTGAACTTTGACAAATTTTATTGAAAACCTTTGTATTAATCTTAATGTAAACTAAAATTATATTTAATTCAAAATAAGAGAACCTTAAACAAGAATGAAATATTAAAATTATTTTGATGGAATTATATTCTTTAAGAAATTGCTGAAAATTTTCTTTTTCTTTTATAAATCATAATTTAAGGTTTTTCAATATAATTTTTGTTTATTAATATGTACAGTATGTTAATTGGAATTGTAACAAATAGTAGTGAAATTTCTTATTCATTATTATTTGCTGCAATTTTCATTTATAAATATCAACCTGTTTTTTAATTTTATAATTGCTAATGACAGGATAAATGGAGCAGGATATAAAATTTAGATAGGAAATAAATATAACTTCAGTTACAAATGAAATAATGAGTAATTTGTTGATGATAGAAATCTCCATTCTTAAATTAAAAAATTTCTACATTAGATTGACATTTTTGAGACCTTATTTCTTATGTTCTTCAGTATTTGTTTTTGTGAAAACATAGTATAAGATATTCAAATACATTAGGATAATTAATATCTTATACTACGAAAGGAAAGGCTAATTAATAGAACATAAATTATCAACCATCAAAAGTTTAAAATATTTAGTATAATTTAAAACAATTTATATTCAAAACAAAATCTGTAGCATTTAATAATGTTTTCTTTTTATAATTATCTCAATTTTTCAGTACTTTCCTCAATAAATTACTACAAGAAAAATAACAGAATTATCATCTAGAAAAATAAATTCATATATCATAAAGTAATAAAACTTTCATAATTCCAGTTATAAATTTGTGTTGTTACTTTGCATAGCTTTCTTTATTTGTTATATAATAAATATTGCTTTTAACAGAAATATGAATTTTATGATTTTATGAAGCATGTAGTAGGTTGCACTTATTCTATAAAAAATACCATACATTTGGATTCTTTGTTACTTTTACAATGTACAAAATTACAAGTTATATTCATATTCATAGAATATTCAAAAACATATTCATAGAATATGTTTTTTTAAAAAAACTTGTTGAACTTGTATTACAAATTTCTGTTTAAGTAATTATTTTCAATATATTAATTACAATTATCAATTTTCTCTTATTCTAGACCAAGAGGATTGAGAAATGCTTGGAGAAACTTTTAAGAGCATTAGAAAAAGATAGAACTCATACCTTACATCACTATCGTCATTTGTTGAATACGAATCCCAAACAGGCCGAAAGAGAGAAGGAAGCGATGTTAGAACATCTGGATAATCTTAATCACATGGGAAATCAGAGTATTGCTATGTTGGAGCGTGCACCGTCTGTTGCCGACAAGATCCACAACAGAATGAGTGCGTTTTAATTTGTTAATAGACAAAACATTAAACAAAAGTATTATGGTTATTTAGAGTAATGTAGTTTAAAATTTTTTCATTTTTTAAAAGCTATTTAATTAAATATTTGAAATAGATAAGGAGTGTGTTGGTATACAAATTAAAATATATTAAAAATATAAACTGATTTAGTCCAAAATATTCCTGCAGATTGAAAATTTATGAATTTTAAATAATTGCAAATATTAAATTTATTTGAAATGAAAAAATTTTAATAATGTACATCAGGGCTTCTTAAACTTTTTTATTCACGACCTCATTTATGATTGTGATTTTTTCTTGACCCCAAAAAATGTACAATAAAGATATATACAAATTTGAAAAAACAATAATGGTGTACTACCACAGTTCACTCTTGTGTTACAATGGAAATGAGACAACTGAATACACTGAAAAGCGACAACACTACACTAGTACACAGTAGTGTACTCTCGCTGCATCAGAAGTGACACAAGCGCAACTCACGAAACCTATAACACAAAGCGAGCCATTTTCAAACTCTCACAAATTATTTTCAATATTTTGTATTAAAATCTCGCGACCCCAAGATTTCGCTAAGAGACCCCAAATTGGGTCACGACCCATAGTTTAAGAAGCCCTGATGTACATCATAAGCATCCATATACTTATGATTTTTTATTAGAATTCCAGAATGTAAATAATATTTAAATTTAATCTTAAATAATCTGTTTTGTGATAGATATGTAATAAAAACTTGCATAAAATATTCATTTGGTTATTTAAATAGCACTTTTATTTTTGAGATTAAAACTTTTGTTTTGGTTTTAGTTGCAATTTGGCACCATCTTCACGGCCTGGATGCTGAAACTGCAATTTCTAAAGATGCTGATGAAGCAATCTTAGAAAAATACAGAGAGGAGGTTGAAGAGAAACAAAGAGGTTTTGTATATTAACAATTTATATCTAATTATAAGATGCTATGTCTGTAAATATTTTGATTATGCTTACAAATTTTCAAAACATCTATTTGAATTTAAAGGAAAATGTGGTGTTTGTAGAATTTTGTAGATATCAGAGATTTCTAAAAGTATTGAACTTTAGGTTAATATCAAATTTATCTAATTCTATTGTCTTAGCAAGTCAGTCAGTTAGTGATACTCTACTGTGTTGGTGTTTCTAAATACAGTAGAGCATCGATTATCCAAATACAGTTCAACCGAAACATTGGTTAACTGAAAGTGATCCAATCGGCAAATTCAAATTTCCACTAGTGCTGTGGTGTTGCAGCACTCTCCCCCTCCCTGTCAACCTAAACTAGGCCTACTTTATGTAAAGTATGAATTTGTAAGACGTGATTCAAAATATATACAGTACAGTTTTGTAGCAATCTGTACTGTACAGTACAGATTGCTGAATTCATTATTCATGAGATGAATAACAATTTAAAGTATAAATATTCCAAATTCTATTCTTCTGGACCATATCAGTTACACAATATATTTATTTTATTATCATTTTTTAAAGTCAAAATTTAATTATTTGTTACAATAAACATCACGAAACCTGATAAATTTGCAAAGCCAAACAACCATCAGATTATGTCTGGCTACTTTTCCATGTTTATTGCAGAAAAGTTGTCTGATGTAATCCACTGGTTTTTTGGCTTTAATAATTTGTTTGCATTTAAATTGTTTTTAGCATTGATTTTAAAATACCAGAAGTTTTTAATTGCTTAATTATCCAATTTATATTGTTTTTGAATTAAATTAACCGTGAAAGATTGAAATTTTATTCTCTCATTTAGGATATTGAAGAGCTGAACAGCATAATTTTTTAATTAAAAAAAAAATGAAATTTTCTTGCCAAAAGCAATTAGGAATTTGATAAATTTGTGAATTTAGTAATTAGAAAATATGTTTTGAATGCTTTTTTTTTAAATGTGACTAGGAGTGTTTTGAATTGTCAATTTTTTTAATTTGACTTAGATCTTCTTGAAATAAAACTAAAAATCTAATTTTAAGGAATTATTTATTCGTTTACTGGTTTAAAAATTTGCTATAATTTTCTTCTGTACTACAATAAATATTTGGTTAACTATTGGTGCAGGTCAATGTCTTACACAGATTCTTTCTGGAAGATATATGACCTAAAGACAATAAGTAAAGTTTTGTATTATTTTCTTCCTTTTGCATTAGAATAATTGTAATAGTAATGAATAGTAACCAAAAAATGACCAGGTGACTAGGAAGGTTTTAGTCTGCAGGTACACATTTTAATTCTAATTGAGATTTTTATGGGTTATTTGGATATGATTTGTTCTCCATAACTTATCCATACTGATTGCAATAAATTGCAAGATGTAGGGACTAACTGATTGCAACCTGTAAGGGCAGATTTATGGCCAAGCATCTATAATGTGCTGTTGACTTGACCTGAAAAATCAATCAAAAACTGGATTTACATATTGAAATTGTAATGAAATAAATGTTTATTGTAAATGCAAATGTGTTTTAATACAATTATTTCTTATGTATTTATTCAGTATGGAATTAACAAGTGGTTTAAATCTTTAGAAATGATGTATTTTACTTTTTAATAATCTCTTAAACCAGTGTTTTTCAACCTTCTTGAATACGCGACCCCTTTACAAGTTAAAAAATTTTGGCGACCCCCACGGCTATATTAAAACTATGTCAGTGATTTTAAAAACTACGTATTTAATTTTCTTTCTGTTGAAGTTTAAATATCGATCAAAAAGCTAATCAAAAAACAGCACAGTCTTCTCACTGAAATTGTAGTATTTTTTTTTATTGTAGTGTAGGACCTACAAACACTTGTCTTTTTCTTTTACCCACGACCCCCCGTGTATGGCTTTGCGACCCACCTGGGGGTCGCAACCCACAGGTTGAAAAACACTGTCTTAAACCATATTAGACATTTTATATGAAAAGATTTGGTCTCTAAACCATTAATTTGAATGACTGTTTTATTTGTATTAATTTATTAATTTATAATTGACAATTTAAATGTGAATTATTAAATGTAAATGCAATTGTTTGAATTCCGCTAGCAACGAGTAAAAGAGAAGCATTTATTATAAGAAGTAAAAAACAATGAAAAAAACTTAATCTTGAAAAATTGAAATCCTAAAACTTATTATTAATATTAATTAAACTTGAGCATTATTATTATTTTTTTACTTTAAATAAATTGAATAATATATTAAGAAAATCAAGGAAAGAATCTATGTTTGATTATTTGCCTGATATATTATTTTTACACTGTTACAATTTGTAACCCCAATGTTTTTTTAATTTTCTTGACCTGAGGTAGATATCAAGTTCACAAATAAACTTGAAAATTTGATAAATTCACTAATATAAGACATGACTATTACTAGTTTATTTACATAATTTGCAAAAATTTTCTATTTGTTTTAGAGAATAAATGCAAATTAACTTTAAATAACTCAAGTTTGTATACAATTTAGAGCGTGAACGCCAACGCCAATTAGAAGAAGAAAGGCGACAAGAGCTAAAAGAACTTAGACAGGAGAAGAAACGTGTGGAAGTTAACATGCATGGAAAACTTCCTCAACCTTTTGATCCAGAAACCATGGAAGATGAAGAAATACAGGATAAGACTACCTTTTCTCCATTGGAGAAGAAGCTAGAAAATACTCCTGACATTGAGGATAATACTCTTGATCAGGAAGAAATTCCTATACCAAAAGTTGCCCATATTCAGAGTCAAACTGCTCATCACAATGAAGGTGTAAGTAAATAAAATAAAAAATATATGTATTTTTTTAAGCTGATTTTCTATGCTTAAGAACATGAAATGTTTTGAGATTTGATTGATAGACTTTGTGAATAATATTTTAAAATAAAAATAGCTTTAATAGTTATTCATATTTATATTTAAGAGACAACTTTTTGATACTATGTAATTATCCTGTTTTTTTTTCAAAACTGTTTTATAAATTGATACAGTTGCTCAGATGTGCTTTGTAGTGTTTTATTTTCCTCTGATTTTGTCAACATGTTTATAACACCACTTGTTTGTGTTTACCTTTATTGTTTGTGTCATGAGAGAAGCAGCAACAAGGCTGTTCATTTGATTTGTTTGTCTTGGTATGGAGTGCTGTTAGCTAAAAGTAATCTGGTGTCTTCTCAATGTTTATTTCATCGATTCCTAATTTCCTATAAAGTATTTGCCTTTCTTGAAATAGAAACTTGAATTCAGTTTAAATTCATTGTGTTTAATTTTTAAAATTTAAATATATTCTTTTAATGTAATCTATACATTAATTAGAAATGTTAATAGTTTATTATTATTTTTTTTTATGTAGTTCGAAGTTTATATAATCTCAGATAAATTGTCTGTGGCCAATATGATTATGCTAACTTATACAAAGCTGATTGTTAATTTTTTTTTTGAGATGCTGAAAATATATGATGATAAAAAGACAATCAACACAAAATTACATAAATGCTATAGTACTGTATATTCCTTTAAAGTGCCATATGTTTAATTTAAATGACCAAGATAAAGTAATTTAATTACTTGATACTGGATTTTAATCTTTCCTGTCAGTTTGTTTTAAAAAAATGTTTTATTGCTGAACTTTGTTTCAATGAGATTGTTGAATAAGGACAAATACATCTATGCTATTAAGAGAATATATTACAAATTATAATTTTTATTTCAGGCATATTCTGTTCGAAAAGAAAGTGTTGAGAAATTTAGATGGAATGGAAGCATTTACATCACACTAGCATTTGCGGGAATAGCTCTGCTCACGGCCATGATTGTGGGTATAATTCTACTGCGCCGTCACGCCCAGCGTTCTCCCCACGGCCAAGGTTTCGTAGAAGTGGATCAAGCTGCCACGCCAGAGGAACGTCACGTGGCAAACATGCAAGTTAATGGCTACGAAAATCCAACTTATAAGTATTTTGAAACACAGAATAACTGAAGTAAGTGGATGTATTTAAACTCATCAGACTTCTCCAATACCTTGCTCTAGACCTCAAGGTGTTTAGTGTTTCTGGAGAGAGCCTTCATTCATTACACCATAATACTAGCAACAGTTGGCTTTAAACTAAAGAACTAAGAGTGATATGGAATTCACACGTTGCCATAAGAGTGATGTTTTTTGTACTGTAATTTGCTAGAGTAAATCTAGTAATCACTTGAATAAAAATATACACTAAAATTCTTTAAAAAGTTCCATTTACAATCTTTACTTNGTGGTTTAATTAGTGTTGTCACAATGGCGGACTGCGATTTTTAATCATATTTTTAATTTATTTTCATTTAAAATATATACTCTCTATTTTAAATTAGTACTGGCTTGCCCCTGTACATCATACTTTTCCTTTAACAATAGTCGTGCCGGTCATTTATCTTAACTCCTTTCGGAGGAAAAGTTTTGAATTGAAATAACGTGACATCCGGTTTGTATCGGAATTTCTTATATAGTTAATCGAGGCCCCTTATGACTAAGGTTTCGATATCTTGTCCGGATTTTATTTATATAATTCCGTTTTCGAGATTAAGGAAAGACAGCCAGACGGACGACAGTGGGAAATCATGATATTTTTATAAAATTAAGTTATATATTTAATAACTTAATTCTGCTACGGAATATTTATATGTAAATGGTATTGTTGACTTATATAAAAATAACTATCCGCGCAAGAGAGAGTTTACATTCGATTGCGAGGTGATAAATACCTTGGAATTTCCAAAGAGATGAGCCTTTTTCCTGGGGATTTTTAGGGATGTTTCGGATGGCGCTGGAGATATTCCGAACGTTGGTAAGTTGTCCCGGGACGGGATACCTTTCAATATAGGTGGATGTAAATCCAAGAGTAAGTTATCTGATATCTTAAATAGATGAATAGCCGGGAAACTGTCAGGGCTGACGAATAACGAAATTGCGAACCTTAACTCCAACCAACTCGAGTTGATCGACGCACTCGTCTGTCGTCATCTATCCCGTTCTTTTATTTTGGGGGTCCTACCGTTCTTTTATTTTGGGGGTCCTACCATTCGGGGGGACTCTTGTCCTTTTTCGGTAATATTAAATCTACATACAGTCTATATCCAATAGATGAATTCTGGCCGTTTGGTTCTTGGTGACACATTCGGAAGATGTGTGACCTTTGAAAAGAAGTGAATCAGGAGAAAGATATAATCATATCCTTTAATATTTAATAAATGTGGTTATTCAAAAATTTATCGCCAAGTCGGGCTCTCACAATAGTATCAATTAGAGGGAGTTAATAAAACGAGTTCAAGATAAAAAAATTATTAAAAATCATTTAATTGTTTTCCCTAATTATTCAGCGATTTAACGCATCATAACTTCGCGAATACCAGAAAATAGTCGAAAGTGTGTCGAATATAGAGTTTAAACTATACAATAATTAATTAATATAACAAAATATTCGTGATTACAATACTTTTAATGATGTACATTCATCTATATACACTTAGAACATGTGCCCCTTTTTTCGTCTCGGTTGCTCTTTTCCTAATCCCCAAAGAACCCCAAAATTCCATTGTCAACAAACAACAGAAAATTCTGCAATTATAAAAGAAACTAATATATAATTTGCAATTTGTACAAGGGCAGTGATAAAATATTACTTATATAAATCATTATTATTATTTATTTCAAAAAGAATATATAATTTTCCTTCGTTTACCATTTCTTAATTGTTTCTTGACCTGAAGATTGCGAAAACATTTATTTATATATATTTTTGTTTTTACTTTTTCATATCCTTAATTATATTATTATTAGAAATGATTGTTTTTATTACTTTTTAAACAAAGTCAAATTCCTTTTGTTGAAAATAAATACAGTAGACTTTCCTATATCCGAACTAACGTGGGCGGGTGTGATTCAGATGAGAGAGTGTGAGAATTTTGAAATAAGACTGTAACATATACTCGTATGTATTAAAAAAAATGTTTATTTTGACATTTATTCTTGACAATTACGATTAATTTTTGAAAGTATTGTGTTAAAGTTGTTTGTTTTGTTCTTCTCGATTTGCTAACTAGCTGCTGCTACATCACATCTATCCAATGAATGTTGTCTGACGTATTTACTACGTATATTCAAATATTTTTTTAATTTTTAAAAAATTGCTAGAATAATTACTTATACAATTGACTTTAAAACAGATAAGTTGCGGGTTATATAATATTTTACTAAATTTCGAAAATAAATTATCATATTTTACTGTTTAACATCGAGTTTTAGACTTGGTACTTCCATTTACGTACTGTAGAGTACCCAATATTTAACACTACATTAATCTTCTACTTTCACATAAATAAACTAATTAAACGTATATAGACTTTTTTAAACGGGGGAATATTTTCTATTATTTCTTTTTTATATTATTTGGGGTGCGATACAGCACCTGCTAACAGAAGAGCAGGTGCTGTATCGCACGTATCCTCATTATAAATAAAATTTACTAATGAGTTATTTTTTAAAAAAGAAGAAAAATACACTTAAAATTGAATTTATAACATTTTATTCATTTGAAAAAATCTCAAATCAGTATTAAACTGAACATTTACAAGTTGTTTTATTTGGTCCAGAGCATTTCCCGCTTTTGCCATATTTATTACTCTTGCAGTATTTCGTACATAAAGCATCCGAAACTGGACATCCTCCTGTAGGTATTCCTTCTACTGGAGATACTTTAATAAAACATAAACATTTTTTTTTTAAAAATAAGAAATAAATAAAACTTTTAAATAAATTGTAAATTTATATTAGTTTAAATCTATATATTGTTGATAATTTTTTTGTAATAAAACACACAATTAAGCATCTCTTAAATTGATTTAAATTACGAAATAATGTTGGCGGAGGCGTTTAAAATATCAAACTATCTTTGTGTAGAACCCGGGTTCAGAGAATCCCAAGAAATTTTTATTTTTCTGTTGCCTTCATTCTTAACTCGGCCTTTCCCATTTAGGGCCTGCCCAAACCCACGATGGTTTGGTTAAGAAAAAAAGGCCCCTTTTGTGCCCACAGAATGGAAATTATGCAAGAAAAATTATAGTAAATTTTGTATGATTAATACATTGAAAAATTTAATCTTGTTACATTGCATTAACCTATAGTAAAAATGACTTAAAGTGCGGATGATATAGAATCATTTCTATGTGATAAAGTCTTTAGACAATGGATCTAAATACCTATTTTACATCTCGAGGATAAAATAATCCGAATTACTAAATATTCTATAAATTTAGATACGTTCTTACGGATTTACATAATTCGTAAATTTACGTACGTATAAATTACACAAAAAATGTATGCAATTTATGAATTACTTACGAAAAATTTGTATTTTATGAATTAAAGTAAATATAATTGAATTTAATTAAGATGTTTGCAACAAAAGTTGCTGAAGTTCAGGTGACTTCAGCAACTTTTAAACACATTAAAAGAGCTATAATAAAAGAGGATAAGTTTATTTAGGTCTATAATAATATGGACATTTTAAATACAGAAACAGACAGTAATACACACAATGAATTATTAAAAATGAGTAAGATATTGGTATGCAATCAACTAGGTAAAGATAAGATTTGAATTGAGTTTTTGGATCATTGAATTACCCAGAACATTTTCATACAATTGGAAATACGGGATTAAGAAATTTAAAGAATTATTTCTTATGAGTAAAATGAGTTTACAATGAATCGTAAATTCAATAGATGTGAAGAAATTCATCTACAAAAACTCTTCTGCTTTTAGCAGTGCCAAATTCATCAATTACAGTAATTCTTGAGCAATTTTAACTTTGAAAATGATCGTTCTGTAGATAATTACCAATTTTATGATTCAAATACTAAATTATACTAATAAATTTGCGAGATTCCTGACAGCTCGAAACCCTAGGCGATAAAGGCTTTGGCTTTAGCAGTATTTAGTAGATGGGTGAAGATGCTCACACTTTATGCTAATTGTTAGATGAATAAAGAAAGAAAAATGAAAAATATCTTACCATTTGCCACCAGAAGCACTGAGAGAACCAAGATGGCCACCAAGTATACCTTGTTCATTTTCTGAAAATGTAGAAAATTCAAACCAGATAAATTTACCGTAGAAGCTAAACTAAAGCAAACACGATATTTGAATGCTTGGGTTAACTTACCTTATTTATTTATATTGAAAAATGCGAAAGGAAGTGTATAATTTGGAAGTGATATAGTCTAATTCGTCCAATCGGAATAAAGAACTTAATCTACGTCGTTAATATACGTTTGAGAAATATCTTCTGAGATATTCAACAACTGTTAGGAAGAAGTTAGCGATTACAAGATAAGCGATTAATTACGTTATTTAATAATATACAGAGTTAATGAAACAGCCGACATTTTCTGAAGTGTTATCTCGTCACTTATTGTTACTTAAGTACCTGTACGTTATGAATACGTCGAATGCTTGAAGAATCAGGAAAATTTTGAAACGTTAGAAGGGATTACACCACTTCATACTTGTGTGTATATGTGTGTGTGTGTACGTTTAAACAATGACTAAAGAGAATACTGAACGAAAAAAAGGCCAAAAGATCATTCTTTACTTCAATTCATTTAATATAATTAATTATACAGCATTCATTTATGAGATGCAATAAATAAAAATTGAATTTTCAAACATCACCGAATCCGAAATTACTTAAAAATATATATATACATCCTCAATTAAAGATATAAAAGTAAAGGAAGTAATTAAAGAGTAAATTGTTTTATAGATATTATTAAAGATCTTATTTCTTCCTCTATTTAATTTCCTTTTCTTAATTGGTATATCTACAAAATACTTTTTTAAAAGCAAACAAATAATAATTTATATCAAAATACACATTTATAACAATTCTTGTGCAATGAAGTTTATTAAATATATAACAAATCAATTGTTGTAATACATAACGTTAAATAATAATAATAATAATAATAATATAATTCTAGAATATTTTTCTGAACGATAATAAAAATATCATTCTACAAAGTCACTTTTATTACGAATTGTAACAAGTGTTCGGTACGTAAACAGTAGATTATATGTAAATGTATTATATTAGTTTAAAGGATTTTTTTAGAAAATAATTGATAATTGCTTGTATAAATCTATTTATTGTCTCCATCTTGTTAAATTTACGAGTATTTCGAACATTTCTGAAATTTTATAGGGAGGTTTGTATATTAGGGGGATTGGTGCTATTAAATTTTGGTGGTTAAGTGATCGAAAGAGTGAGGAGATAGAGGGAGGTCGTGTGTCTTATCTCGAGTAAGATCGGATTTAATGATTTTACTTGTTATTAGCATTTACAATATTTTATAAAATTCATACCTACCCTCAAAATTAATGTTTATGCCATTTTATAATAATTAAAAACATAAAAAATTTCTAATAAAATAACATAACAAATGGCTCCAAACTCAGTTTTAAATGTTTTTGTTGGGAAAGTTAAGCAACTCGTTTCTGAATTTTTAACTGTGTATTTCATATAGACCGATTATACATAGAAATTGAAGCAAAAAAAAAAAAATCCAGTAATTTGTTTAAAAGAATTTAGTTTTAAAATCAACGAGCAAAAATTATTGTTAATNGATCGGAATTAATGATTTTACTTGTTATTAGCATTTACAATATTTTATAAAATTCATACCTACCCTCAAAATTAATGTTTATGCCATTTTATAATAATTAAAAACATAAAAAATTTCTAATAAAATAACATAACAAATGGCTCCAAACTCAGTTTTAAATGTTTTTGTTGGGAAAGTTAAGCAACTCGTTTCTGAATTTTTAACTGTGTATTTCATATAGACCGATTATACATAGAAATTGAAGCAAAAAAAAAAAAATCCAGTAATTTGTTTAAAAGAATTTAGTTTTAAAATCAACGAGCAAAAATTATTGTTAATTGTCACAATGCCTGGCTACAATTTTTAATCATATTTTTAACTTATTTAATTTAAAATATATGTTCTCCACCTGAAATTATTAGTGTTTTGCTCCTATGCATCATGCTTTTCCTCATAATAGACTTGTATTCATATAACACCGTTCTCGAAATTAAAGAAAGACAAGCAGCCAGACCGACGACAGTAGAAATTTATAGGTCATAAATTTTTGAATATTGTTTCGGAACAACTACGCTATTAACACGAATGAATTAATATATTTTACTGTGAAAGTCGCATTGAAACTAATGCACAATATACAGTACTTTAAACTGTATTTGTTTAATTATATAATGCTGGAAAGAACTCTTTTGTGTTTGGATAAACTTATATTAAAGTTAAAAACATTGTGTACATATCAATACATCATTAATTAATAAAGTAATTTGCAATTACTAGATAACTTTTATATACATCAAAATATACACTATTATGAATAAATTATGTACAGTATAAATTTAATTTATATATATACTAGTTTATCTATTGTTACGAAAGACTTACGTTATTTGTATACAAGGTCTGTTCAAAAAGTATCGGACCTTATTTTTTTCCGCGTAAACCAATGATGCGAGAGAGGCTTCCTTCGGTGGAGTTGTGGAGGGAACAGTCATGCACATCCCTGAATTTTTTCCCGCCTACAGAAAGCGTCAGTCGTTGGCAATCGGCGTATGAGTGAGGTCATGTAGTGCGCTCTCGTCGGATTTCACTAAGCTGGAAAATGACTGAACAACGTGAGCAGCGATATTACATCAAATTTTGCCAAAAACCTTGGCGATACCCGAGTGTAAACCATTCGCAAGATTCAGCAGGCTTTCGGGGACGAT